CACCCTCCTTCATACCCCATAACTAGCTATTTATAAAGAGTTTTCAAGACCATGGCTGCCTGCCATTCTGCTTCCTAGGAAGTATCATTTCTGCCTTGTTTTTATAATATACAGTCCTCGGATGTCCCCTTGCAAACCTGGGCCAAAACTATGCTTTGTTTTGGCTTATTCAAGTCATGCTGAATCGCTATATATTACTATTAAAATGTTGCATAATAGGGGTTTTTTTTCTTTAGAGTGAAAAAGCACTTTAATTACATCATATTAAGGAAACATTCCAAACATTCTACTTATAGAAACAAAAAAGAATAGACATATCATTCTATGTCTATTCACAAAGCAGCTGGAAACTTTGAAGTGGGTATAAGTGTTACGTGAAAGACAGCATGATATTTTAAGGTTTTTCATACTGGAGACTAATCCTAAGATTTTGTTCTAAAAGCACTTTAAACCATTTAAGAAGCAGGAGAAAGGAACTAAAAGTAGGTACTTTTAAATATCTGAACTATTTATGATGCTGAGTAAGAATGACATTTTATCTTTACCATTAGATAAGCTACCTTTCATTTTTTAAAATGGTCTTTAAAATCAAATTTTTACTTTTCCTATATAAAAAAAAGAGCAAGTTCAAAAACACTTCTGTTGACACAATATTGTTTTTATCCGTTCTAACCAAGAAAACACTAAGTAGAATTTTCAAAATTATATGCAGTTTTCTTTGTTGAAATGTAATAGGATACCATGAATGTTAGCCTTAAGAGATAATGACACATCACCTTAGAAAAATCCAATAATGAATTAAAATTTTTATCTCTAAATGCAATGGGTATAAAGTAGTATGTATTTATATTCTCACTCATCTATAATTTCAAAGATGATACATATATCATGGCCAGCAAGTGGCTCTAGAGCCTCATCTATTGATGAGGGCCCTTTTCATGCCTCTTGTGAGTTTTATAATCAGGAAATACAGAACTATTAGAGAATTCTGAACTTATAGGACCTGTTTTTGCACTGAGAATACATACTAGCTCTATAGTGAGGTCTACATACTTTATTCCTGCCTCCCCTTTTTGGAGAAAATTAAACAGGTTTAAACCCAAACATTTTAAACTTAAGAACTTCTTAGAACCATAAGTTTGATTATTTTTGTTTATACACTTTTCAAAGATAAAAACAGTCTTTGAAAATGTTCAAATGTGAGCAATTATAACATGAATTCTCTTTCAACCCTATCACTATGTCCTTTGTTTTCTGAAAAGATGTAGCTGCTCACTCAGTGTTTTGAACTTTTTTTTTCTCCCTGAGAATTCTATAGACTTGTAATTATTGGCAAGACGGCCATGGAGGATACTGGATTTTTGTCAATTAACTAATTAGGGTGGAAGCTATGTCAGTCCTGCTCGTGGGTTCAGTTTTCAGACACAAGGCCATTGCCAGGAAACTGTCTTCTTAGGCAGCTGTACTACCATCACCACCCACCTGCCACCACAGAAAGGCAGTGCTGGACCAGTGCCTAGTCTTTAGTTTTTAGAAATGCAATCTTATCAACACAGGCAGTGTCAGGTTTTCCAGAGATCAGCCAGTTTATTCATTGTTCTTAAGAAACGACGACTGTGCAATAGGCGCAGCAGCGTGCAGTGATCTGGGCCTTCCCTGCCTCTGTGCAGACATGAAAGTGGAGGCTCCTACGAGAGGAAGAAGATCTCTAGGCTTCATTCATATAAGTCCCAGAGAAACTCGATAAAAAATCTTGATTCCACAACCACGAATGTTTCTGATCATTAAGAGAGGGTCTTCTCCCTTCACAGTACAGGATAAACATCGCCCAATTCTGCCCAATTCTAGTTTTCCCATGTTGTGGGACAATGAGCTGTCTACATCATTCAAGCCTTGTTCTTCCCAGCCTTCAGCATTCTGTAAGATGCAGATATCAGTTGTTATTTATTATATATTGAATTTTTATGAATGTGATGAGGGGGAAGTACTAAACAGAAGTTTGATATTTTCCATAATTATGAGCCTGTCCCTATTTGATGGGTACTTTTTATAACCATTAGTTGTTCTCAGAAGAGCCTCTATCAGGTTATGAGTGACTGGTTATATTTAATATAAATGAATATTATAATTGTTTTTAACATTAATCCAAAGTGGCAATGTACCCAGTCTCTTAATGGTGCATTGTGCCTCATATTCAGTAGAATGTGTCCAATACTGCCCACCTGTTGTGATAGATTAAAACTAAATCAAGCAGGTCATCAACAGTCCTAACAGCATGACTGGTGATATGCCTCTTCTTCCATTCATGTTCTTCCTAATATCTTAATAAATGAACATGCCTAGGAAGGCTGCCTGCCATGCTGCTTTGTAGATAATATTACTTCTTGGGAAGATTATATAGGCAATGATGAGAGCATTGATTGGGAAGATTGATCTCTTATCTTCTGGTGGTAAGGCATAAGTTAGATTGATTGTTTTGCCATCAAACAAACTGCATGGGAAACACAATTGGTTTGCATTTGGGTTTTGTTTTATTTGAACAATTGATGATTGGTGACATGCATTAATTTTGTGTGTTACCCTTGTGGTAGCAGATACATTTACACATCAGCATGAAAGTGTGATTTCTAATCAAAGATGATACAGTTGACAGGGTTTTTGTCAGGGTGCATGAGGGCAGTTGACCAATGTACAATCAGGAGGTGCTTTAAGACTAACAAGCTGTTGCCTTCAGTGTTGGTTTGCACATCAAGTGGTTGCAAATGTATCCATCATTCCAAGACACCATCGCCCAAAAATATATATTGTGTTTGATACATTTCTCTCAAAAGTTTGGTGCTTTGTTTGTTTGCTTATTTATTTGTTTGTTTGTTTGAAACCAAAGAAGGGGGTTGATGTTTTCATTACCCTTTATATTTTACTCCTTTCTTTGAGCTCTCCCTTGGGAGAAAAGGAAGATACTGCTAGAGATTCTCCAACAGACGTGGACCACCGTGTTCCAGAAGTGTCAGCTTTTGAACTGGACATTGTTCTGACCTTTTTCTCCTCTCAGTATTCCTTTTCTTGGAATATGGGATTCTACCTCTTGAATATGACCATTAATTTCAGACAAGCATTAACTTTAGCATTCATAGAAGAATGTTAGAGTATGCAGCCATTTGGGTGCTATCAGATTCACAGGTCAACTCTTTGGTTATTTTGTTCCTAGTAAAGTACAGTGGGAACACACTATCCTCAATAAACTGTAAGTTATCAGGGAAAAGATCTTTGTGTTAGAGCATAAATTGATCCAAAATATCACAAAGCATTTTAATGTGAGAAACATGTGCATACATTTTTTTACTATTAAATTTTGCTTTTGCTTGTGTAATAGAATCTTATGTCAGTTGCTTCACTTCTAAATGGGATGTCATGAATCTTTGTGATCCAATGGTCCCAAAAAGAAGCAAAAACATTTTTTTCAGTACTTAATAAAGGAAGACATTCATATCTAGCAATGAAGTTAAAAAATGTTTAAAAGCTATTTTATAGCCTAGCCTCTTTTTGAAATATTACCCTAAGATTGTGCTTTGCTCTATAGTCAGCACAAGGGCAAGCAAAAAGCAAAGGCTATGAGGGGCCACAGGCCCTTTGTCTTCAGGCCTCAGGTTTGTTGCAAGTAGGAGCCATCACATGCATTGCATTTGAGCCTGGGTAAGGGACTGGTCTAAGCTAGCCCCTGTTCCAGCCTTCACCCCCTGCTAGAAAATTCTCTCTGTCTTCCTTCCATACATTTAAGAAATACACATGGGGCCCGAGCCAGTTTGGCTCAGTGGATAGAGCCCACAGAGTGAAGGGTCCTGGGTTCGATTGCAGTCAAGGGCACATAACTTGGTTGCAGGTTCCCCGGTCCTGGTTGGGCGCATGCAGGAGGCAACCAATCGATGTGTCTCTCTCACATCGATGTTTCTGTCTGTCTCTCCCTCTCCCTTCCACTCTCTCTAAAAATCAATGGAAATATATCCTTGGGTGAGGATTAACAAAAAAAAAGAGAAAGAAATACACATGGGAATTTTTATTATTTTTTTATTTATTTGCATATTGACAAACCTTAAGCAGATACTTAAAATCCTAACCTTGGTTTTCATCAAGGTTTTGAAACAAAAATAAAAGTGGAAACTTAAAATTTAATGTAAGGTAAGCCAAGGAAAAACTTTTTAAAGTTGCTTCATATATTCCTCTTTTAAAATTAGCTCATTTTCCAGCTAAAATTATAGAGATGCTATGAAAGGAATCCACTTAAGAAATGGAGAACAAAAAATTATTTTTATTAAATTGGCAAACTGAATATACACATTTTGTGATATACCTTGTTTTTTACAAGTTCTAATTATTTGTTTCTTCTTATTATTAAAATTATAAGGTGTCGATCAATTTGTGACTTTCTTAGAAGTTGTAGAATGAGCTATGGTGTCTTGTATTGTGCAAAGATTAGTAAACTTTAAATTCTTAATTTAGAAATTTTCCCTTGGGTTGTTAGTAATATCTCATGGGTCTAATTTTTATTATGCAGTTGACCTTCATTAAAGCTATTTAAAATGTGTTCCAGATGGAGTAAATCCCTCCAAATAATTCAATATTTCCTTAAAATACATTTTTGCTATAACTAGTTTTTAACAAAAAAAAACTAAGGAATGTTAAGGAATCTCATATTTCTATTTCTACAAATAAGACAGTATATAAGCCAATTATTTTTATTTGCCGAGTACTATGTGATTGTATTTAAACAACAAATACTTCGCTTTATTCAGCAAATTAACATTATTAACTAACTTAACACAAAGTATTCTCAGAGAACGTCAGAGTTCACCAAGCAGGCAGAAATCATGAACTGCTTCTCTTTTTACAGATTGGATGGTGCCAGGTAGTATTCGTATTCTATTATGAATTAGAAGATGTTTAATAAAGTTGCCTCCTGCAGTTGCCTCTGACGTCTAATGGTAATTATTTCCTTTTCATAGTGCTTCAGCTGAGGCTGCAACAGAGGCGGACGCGGGAACAGCTCGTGGACCAGGGCATCATGCCACGTAAGATTCGAGTGTCTGTCATCTCTAATGTAACATAACAATGGGCATGTCCAAGAAGAACCTGTATCCATGTAATCAATATATAATTACCAGACGAGTTTATAAGAAAAACCAGGCTTCAGCATTGCCAACCTAAGGGAATTATTTAAAACACATTTTAAAAACTTGATGCCGTTTAAAAATTGGACTCAAATTTTATATTATACAAAGGAACACCTTTAAAACTCTGTAATTAGGCTAACATCAGTTCTTCAAACTGCAACATTTGTTTTAGTTTTAAATAATTGAAGTAATCGCTACATAATGGATCCAGTGTTACTTAGACTTGCAAAAGTAGCATATAAAATTAACTCAAAACCTTATTCTACTTTAAATTATTTAATTTAAATTATCTTTTATGCTATAGTATAGGCTATAATATTAAATGTGTGTTAGTTATAGGACTAATATTCTATTTATAATTAATAAAATCTTTCTTGCCCGAGTACAGATATTTTCCAACTAGTTATCTCTAAGCTTCAGTCCTTCATTTTTTGAGAGTTGGTTAATTTTAGAATATTTGTCCAGGCTGTCTTTTTTAGCTTTAATCACCAAGTTTGAAGATGAACCCATATTTTAGAGAGGACGAGTGGTGATTTTATGTAGGCCATTAGGATTATTTATATGGATTTTTTCTAAAAGTTGATTTCTCCAAGAAGTAACTTATTTGGCTTTTAAAAAAATTACAAAAAAGCATTTATGCTTCCCAGTCTTCTGAATCATTGATTTTACCTTTTTTGGTTTATAAGGAACAGTTTTGCTCTGCAGTAGATTTTTCCCTTTGAAACCTTTTTTCTGGACCATTAATTGTCTAAATATTTTTAAGCTAGCGTTGTGACAGAGTCAAAGCTGGTTTAATAATCTGCCAGATTTCTTCACCACTACATTCCTGACTATGAACAGGATCAATCAAATAGGAACAAATTATGATGTTTAAGACACCACTGCTAAGCCAGTCTGCTTTTAGAAGCTGGTCCCTGCTTTTAGAAGTTGGTCCCTAGCCAAACCCGTTGGGACTGGCTGCTAGGAGTCTTTGCAGTGCTTCAAGTACCAGAGCTGACAACAGCAATGCTACAAGAGTTGATGGGCCAACTTTTGGAGATGACAGCCTAAGTGAGCTAGTCCTATATCTCACCCACATCATCTGACTGCTTGTAGTCATTAAATGCAGGGTGTTATCAGACAGTGGTGGATATACAAAAGGTTTTGCAAAGATAATTGATAGAAATACTGCAGATGCAAGGATTTAGTAAATAAGCACTGCTTACCCTCACTTTGGGATTCTGGAATATTTAATGTACTAGCGCTTAACATTAAAGAATCACTAGGTCTTTAGAGTGATTTGCATTGTGGTGTGGTAGAAAGAGCATGAACCTTTCAAATTCAAAATTCTAGATTTAAATCCCACTTTGATCACCATCTAGCTATATGACTTCAAGAATTCATTTTACTTCTTGGAGCCTTTCGTCTATAGTGGGGCTGATGCCTACCTTGCAAGGTTGTTGTGATGATCAACAGTAATATAATTGTGATTGACCACAGAGCACTGGGCTAAGCCTGTTGTGGGTTCTCAGTAAATGATAGATCTGTACAACATGAAGTACAGTGGATCTCATGTTCAAGGTCAGCTCACTCAAGGTTAAATGTTCTAAGGACATTTGGGCTTTTTCCAGTAGCTTATATGGCCAATAAAGTCCTGTCAAGGAATCATCAGAGTTCCCTTGGTGATGGTAATTTGTCCCAGCGATTGGTTGGAACTAGTCTAACCTGATATTTGCATTGTCATTATGTATACAACTTCATTTTAAAAGTTTTCTTGTTTTATTTGTGAAATACATATAGTTTTTTAAATTTTTATAAGAGTTTATTTGAGCTAAACTGATGATGTATGCCAGAGAACAAGATCTCAAATGCTCCTATGAAATATATAGTGTGGGGGGTTTTTTGTTGTTGTTTTGTGTGTGTGTGTGTGTGTGTGTGTGTGTTTTCTTTTATTGATTTCAGAGAGGAAGGGGGAGAGAGAGAGATAGAAACATCAATGATGAGAGAGAATCACTGATCGGCTGCCTCCTGCACACCACCTACTGGGGATCGAGCCCGCAATCCGGAAATGTGCCCTTGACCGGAATCGAACCTGGGACCTTTCAGTCCATAGGCTGATGCTCTATCCCCACTGCTAGGGCTGAAATATATAGTTTTAATTATGAAACACTTAAGGTTCCAAATTTTGCAGATCTCCTAAAGGAACTAGTAAATAAATGGAACTGTAGATGTGAACTACTAAGGTTAAGAAGAAACATCAAGAAGTACTGTAACGTTTGACTGAAGTATTAACTCCTCTATTTATACTACGGAACCAATTTCTTTTCCTCTCGCAGCCTTGAAGAGCCCAGCAGCATTCCATGAGCAGATAAAAAGCTTGGAACGAGCCAGAGTAAGAAATCTCACTTTAAAATGTTCTACTTCTCTGCTTCTCTCATTTCAAAACACCTGTGGACAAGTAGCAGTCTTACTCCTAAATATGTCAAAAGAGGAACTGCAGTGAATTTGCAGGATACATGGCATATAGAGTAATATATCCTGGGGTAGTTTTTATCTTAGAAATTGGTAGAAAATACATGACATTCAAATTTTGTTCTTTTAAAACTAGTGACTAGTTTCGTACATACAGGACAAATCATACTTCTCTGCTTACTTGCTTTCAGGGCATAACCACAGTTTTCAGAATAATAATGAAGTAATTCTGCTATTTGTTACCCCAGCAGATGGACACAGACCCTACTGTGTTACCTGTACATGTGACCAAGGGTAGGAGAATCTGGCCAAATCAAAGAATATGGCCACAAGCCACTCTGTGTTATTCTTTGAGTTGACTCCATCATAGTTGCATACCGAATTGATATTTATTATTTTTCTTTAAAAGTACCAATATGCACATTTTTTCTTTTTGTTTTAGGGAAAACTTCTATCATGATTTATGAAAAGCATTTTCCAAAAATTCCTTTAGAATTTTCTCAGGATGCAATAATGATCTCTTAGAGTCATAAAATATAAAACCCTATTGTTTGGAGTTGAGTACAGTTCTGAATAAGAAAATCTGATCAAGGATATGAACTCATCAAAGAAAATATATGAAAAATTTTAGTAAATTGTTATTTAGGTGGATTTTTTTTACTTGACCTGAAGTTTAGATTTTTTTAGATATTTAAATGTTCGAAATTTTATGTCTGTTCAAAAATCAATTTCAAAATTATGAGCCTTTGCCTTTCCCAAGTTTTAAAATAAAGGTCTATAACTTGATTACTCTATACCAGCATATACTATGTCCTTGTACAATGTTGAAGGCTGCAATTTAAATCATATATTGGATAATAGTTTCTCAAAGCACTAATTTCTACTTTTCTGTTCCTCTCAAAATCATGACCAAAAGGGTATCAATTAATTTAAATGGAGTACCTTGAGAGAAAAATATGTAAAACCCACAGTAAGTCATAATCAATTTATGGCAAGATTATCTCTCTTTTTTTTTTTAAGACTGAAAACTTTTTGAAGCACAAGATTCGAAGTCGACCAGATCGTTCTGAACTTGTCAGGATGCACATTTTAGAAGGTAAAAATTTTATTTCTGCTTGTTTTATGTGAGAATGCCGCCATTTCTTTTTATTCCCATTTAATAACTTTTACCCCACAGGCTGACATCCTCCAAATTGGATAGCAACATGAAGACCCAAAGTTATGTTAGGTACATGGGAAAGGTTTGATTCTCCAAATAACCTACTGATGGACTGACTCTTCCCCTCCAGCTGGTACCATAGGTGTCTATCATACTGTCCTGGAAAAACTTTTCAGTCCAGAGGATTTATTCTTCAGAGAGGGACATGTGCCCACTCATTAAGTCATAAAGGGTACAATAGCCACAAGTCTAACCATAGATTTCCCTGTTATGTCTGCCTGGTACAATGTCCACACCTAACATTATTGCTTTGTTGCTACTTGCCCACAACAGTCCAGCTTGATTTAACCATTATCTTAAACACCCTCCACTCAGCCCACCAAATTTTCTCCATCTGGCCTCATCACTTATGAAGCTGGTAGGGATGGTTCTATTCCATCTTTCATGAGACGAATGGCTAAGGCCAGGATATTTTTCTCTCTGAAGACATAGCATTCTTTTTTTACTATTGTTGGCACTATTACACATGTCCCCCACTCTCCCCCCGGCCTTCACCATTGTTGTCTGTGCCCATGGGCTACGCATATGCATTTTTGTTCTTCGGCTAATCTCTTCTATTCCCCCACCCCCACACTCCTCCCCTTAGCTCTGTCAGTCTGTTCCATACCTCCATGCATCTGATCCTATTTTGTTCGTCAGTTTATTTTGGTCATTAGATTCCACATATAAGTGAGATCATATGGCATTTGTTTTTCTCTGACTGGTTTATTTCACTTAGTTTAATAATCTCCAGGTCCATCCATGCTGTCACAAAAGAAAAGAGCTTCTTTTTTACAGCTGAGAGAGAGAGAGAGAGAGAGAGAGAGAGAGAGAGAGAGAGAGAGAGAGGTGAGAAATGTCAATCCCACACATGCCCCACCAGGGGTCGAACCCACCACCTTTTGGTATACAGGACAATACCCCAACCACCTGAGCCACAAGGGCTTTTATCCACTCATCTACTGATTCGCACTTTGGCTCTTTCTAGATCTTGGCTATTGTAAAGAACACTGCTGTGAACATCAGGGTACATATATTCTTTCTTTTCCACAGTGGCTGAAGACAGAGCATTCTTGAAAGCTGGTATCACCACCATAAATTTCTCAAGTTACATTTTCTTTCATTGTTTTGCTTCTCTGACTAATTTATTGAGCAAGACTAGGAGCTTGACCCTGTGATAGTCTTCAGTATGTTAAAACTTGAGAAGATACAGAAAGAATCTGAAAACTTCTCAAATATTCAGACACAATTATCATGTAGAAGAAAGATTAGATTTGTTCTCTCTGGCCTGATGACAGATTTAGTATTAGAATTAGGTTGACGTTAAAAGTAAAAAGTATTAGGTTGTAGCTCAACATAAGGAATAATACCCTAAAGGTCAGGTATGTCCAAATACAGACTCTTCAGGAAGCCACATGGTGGCTGTGATCAAGAGGTGTTTAGTCATTGGCCAGTGAGCCAGACACCAGAGGCCAACAAGTGAACCTGTCTTCATGGAGTTTACATTCTAGTGGTACAGCCAGATAAACAGACAAAATAAATGAATTACACAATCAGAAAAGTGCTTTATAGGGAATAAAGAGGCTACTGTGAGAATAAGTACAGGCTGACACCACATTAAGGATGTTGTAAAGAAGCTCCAAGTATAAAGTTAGCCTCTACAACCCCAAGTAGGGTCTCTTCTAGTCCAAAGAATCAATGATTATGTGACTGTCTTCATATCTGGGGCAGGAAGTGATAGCCCCTGGCTGATAAACTCTTCAGGTTGTGTTCTCAGAAGTCCACTGGACTGAAAAAGTATTTCCAGAACTCCAGTGGTAGGGCAGGAGCCGCTACCAGCTATCAGGGATAAGTGAACCTCCAAAGAAGTAATTTACTGGTAAGTGACTAGGTAATGGCTCTTTCTCTGCCTGCAGACATCTTGACCTATAAGAGGCATTTTTGGAGGAATAATGCTGCCTGTTTCAACTTACCCCCTAACTGTAACAGGCTTTATTAATATAATTAAAACCAAGGCCAATACATTTAGCTATCAAAAGAAATCATATTTGCTTTATATAAAGAAGGCTACCCAACATTTAAAAACCTACTTATGTACATGACTGAACCTTAAGTGATGTTTTTAGGACATCTGTACTCAAGTTGGGATTTTTAAAGTAAGAAAAAATGTGTCATCTATACTTTTTAAAATGCTCTAAAACCACCCCCAAGTTATTTTAACATTATCCCAATTTGATATTTGGCAGGCAAAAGTCTAAATTGTTTTCTGAAGTTTAGGAGCTAAAATCCAGCCTCAGCCTAATGGAAATGAGGTGGTAATAAGACTAGGAACAGAAACATACCGAAATGCCAGCCTCTGAGTATTTATTTTTGGAATAGTTTCTTTCCAAACATATTCCTGGTATCACGAAGATTGTGTTGATGGGAGAGAAGAGGAAGGCAGAAGACTGCTCTACCTAAATCAGCGGTTCTCAACCTGTGGGTCGCGACCCCTTTGGGGGTCGAACGACCCTTTCACAGGGGTCGCCTAAGACCATCAGAAAACACATATATAATTACATATTGTTTTTGTGATTAATCACTATGCTTTAATTATGTTCAATTTGTAACAATGAAAATACATCCTGCATATCAGATATTTACATTACGATTCATAACAGTAGCAAAATTACAGTTATGAAGTAGCAACAAAAATAATTTTATGGTTGGGGGTCACCACAACATGAGGAACTGTATTAAAGGGTCGTGGCATTAGGAAGGTTGAGAACCACTGTAATTATATATGTGTTTTCTGATGGTCTTAGGCGACCCCTGTGAAAGGGTCGTTCGACCCCCAAAGGGGTCGCGACCCCACAGGTTGTCGACCCACAGGTTGAGAACCGCTGACCTAAATCTTAACAGAAGCATTTAAATATCAATCTAAGAGTGCATGATCTAATTCTCACAACCTATCATCCTGTATGGTTAGAAGTGTTTTATCTAACAAGATAGGGGCCACAGTTAGTTATATGCAAAATCATAAAAATGAGATGACTACACATTATTTTAACTTATGGACGTGCATTTATTTGCCAGAATTCTGACTGAGGGCTAGGACCTTCACTTCGGGGAAGGCTTTAATGAATGGAGTTCACTTCATCTTTCTTGCATAAAGCACAAAACCATTGTACATTGTCTACAATTTCCATTTATGGTGGAAGAAAAACTTTAAGACACTTGAAAAGCAATCTGAGTTTTTAAATCCTAGATTTTACAATTTTTCCCCAAATCTTTTATAGTTACTAACTGCCCTAATTTGACAGTGATTTTTTAATGATTTACCTTTCTCAAATTGTTCCAAAGCATTTGTACAGGTTTCTATGAAGCATTTTATTTTTTTATTGTTCTTACATTTTTTAAAAAATCTTAATTGTTGAAAGTATTAATAATCATTCTATTTTTGAACTTTGTCTTTCCTCATAACATCTAATTATATTATGTATTGACATTAGCAATCCTGACAGATATGAACTATTTTGTGGACAATCATGGTTTTGGTGAGCACATAAATCAACTGGTGGAAAGATAAGTGCAGTGACCCATGATCAACATGAGTTTGAGCTGTACAGGTCTACTTATATATGATTTTTTTCAGTGAATGCTATAAATGTATTTTGCCTTCCTTAAAATTTTCTTAGTATCATTTTACTCTAGCTTACTTTATTCTAAGAATACTGTGAATAATACATATAACATATAAAATATGTGTTAATCGGCTATTTAAGTTATTAGTAAGGCTGGTCAACAGTAGGCTATTAGTAGTTCAATTATATGCAGATTTTTGACTGTGGGGGGGAGTCAACACACCAAACCCCTGAGGTGTTCAGGGGTCAGCTATACTCAGATGTGCCGCAGAGTAGTTTATCGGCCTCGGGCTTGCTTTGGGCTTCAACAAGGACATTTTACCTACAAAATGAAGAACATCAGTTAATCCTGAGAATACTTATGGGGACTTTCATTAAAAGACCTTCTGTATAATTTAAGAGGCAAGCAACTTTCAACTCTAAATTTTGCATTAACACCTCATCATTATGTTTAATCAATTATAAACATTATTTAGAACAATGTAATAAAATGTTAGAGTTATGAGAAACACAAGTAATTGACAGAATTATGCAAATGAACAAGTTACGATGTTTATAATAGTTTCACAAGTTCATTTATTTGTAAATAGATGAGTTGATGCTTTTATATGACCATTAATTACTATGTACAGTAATTGAATGTTCTAACAGACACAGGATTATTTATGTATGCAGAAATAAACCCAAATTCTTAATTATGATGATTGACTCTGTGACACATGGGGATCAATACAAGAATGTGATTTGAAGCTCTTCTCATTGTCTCCTGCAGAGAAGTTTATATCCTTAAATACAGATTTCTAAGATACAGTGTCTCTACTTCTAGGAACTGACTTTCCAATGAAGCCAAATCTAAAACAGTGAACTTCTTGAGCCATGGACCACATCTGTCTTGTTCACCCTCTGTATGCCTGATACCTAATAAATGTGAATATGCCGCTCTTGCCATAAATGAACAATAGCAGTACCCCACTTTTTGCTTAAGTTCATGTTTATTTGAGTCAATGGGCATCCATATTGTATAGGCAGTATAAAGCTATCCAGGACTAAAAATATAAAATATATACTGGAGCGGTCTTAAAAAGTCATTTTCTTTTTCCATAAATATGTTGAGAACACATCAATATGTTTAAACCAATTTAACTTAAATTAGTTGGCCTGAAATAGCATTGTGGAATAGAGAGTAATTCAAGTAATGGTTTAAGCTGTGTTTCTTCTTTTAGAAACATTTGCAGAGCCATCCCTGCAGGCCACTCAGATGAAGTTGAAAAGAGCTCGCCTAGCTGATGATCTGAATGAAAAGATTGCTCAGAGACCTGGTCCTATGGAGCTGGTGGAGAAAAACATCCTGCCTGTGGACTCCAGTGTTAAGGAAGCAATCATAGGCAAGACTTTAAAAACTTATTCTGGGAGAAAAACAGCTTGGCAGTTTTAGAGAAAACAAATTTACTTTTAAAGGCCAGCACCAATCATAAGTATTGTTTTCTGGTAGGTTAGAAATTAACACCTGCACTGATTCCATGATTATTATTATTACAGTTGTCCCTCAGCATCCAAGGTAGATTGGTTCCAGGACCCCCCATGGATACCAAAATCCTTGGATGCTCAAGTCCTGTATATAAATGCCATTCGCATTTAACCTACCTACCATCCTCCCATACACTTCAAATCATTTCTAGATACCTAATACCATGTTAATGCTATGTAAATAATTGTTAAACTATATTGCTTGGGAATAATGGCAAGAAAAAGTCTGTACATGTTCACTACAGAGGCAGTCATCTTAGGCCTAACTATGTAGTACATGTCAGCAACAATGTAACATTTTGGCGAAATATTTTTGATCTGGAGTTGTTTGAATCTGAGGATGCAGAACCCACAGATACAGAGGGCTAACTGTATATTAGATACTGTTAAGAATAGCATCTCTTACCAGTAACACAGAGATTCTTCTTACATCCTAAGTTTAAGTCTTTAAGTTCTGATTTCCTTATCACATTGTCTAAGTTAGACTTATTGTACTATACTGTTTAGTTTATGTTGTTTTGTTTAAAATTTTTACAAAGTTCTTATTATTTTTGTTCTCTTTACTTCTAAGAAAGATAAAGAAAAATAGCTTGTTCTGTGTTAGTTCAGCAAGGTAAATAGAGATGAGTATATATGTATTCATTATGAATGGTAGTATTTTGTCCATCTTATCTCACTTTTATCATACTTTGTTACTAATGTTTCCACTTTTTTCTGGTATAAAATTTAGCATGAAAAATAAATTCCAGAATAATGCCACTTATTCAGCAAGCAATTTTTTTTTTTTTGGTTAATCCTCACCTGAGGATATTTTTCCATTGATTTTTAAAGAGTGGAAGGGATGGGGAGAGACAGAGAGAAACATCAGTGTTAGAGAGACACATCAATTGGTTGCCTCCTACACATACCAGACCAGGGCCAGGGATCGAGCCTGCAACCTAGGTACATGCCCTTGACAGGAATCAAAACCTGGCACCCTTCAGTCCATAGGTTAACACTCTATCCACTGAGCCAAACCGGCTAGGCTCAGCAAGCAATTTTTTAAAGTTAATATTCTACTTGAAAACTATGATAGTTTCCATTACTCACGGGGATTTTCTATTTTGCATTAGTATGAATTTCAATCTTAGGCCATTCATAGTCCATAATTCGAAGTAGTACAATTAGCTATGATTCCTTTTAATCCCAAGGAAACAGGCTCCCAAAAGCAAGGTATCAGTATAGCTGGGCCACTCCATGAAGTGGGACTTAACACGATACCCAGTCACCAGCCCTATTTTCCCCATTGCCTCTTACTGCTTTGTAGTAGTTGGATTCCATATCAGGATCCAAATAAGGTCCACATGTTGCCTTTGGCTGATACACCTCTTAAGTCTTAATCTTTTACATGGGCCTTCCTCCTCCTTTCATTTCTTACTATTTATTTGCTGATGAATGTGGTGGTTTTATCTGTGGCATCTCCACATTCTGATTTTACTGGATGCATTTGCATCCACAGGTGTCATTAAAAACTTCCTGTCTCCTGTACTTCCTATAACTGGCAGTTGGATTCAAAGGCTTGACTAGATTCAGGTTTGATTTTCCCCCCAAGTACTTAAGGTAGGTAGTGGTGGGAAGTACATGATGTTCTTTTTTCTTTTTCTTTTTTTATAACCAGATTCCTAAGTTCTTAGAAAAAAAAACAATATTCTCTTCCTTTTTCATTTTAAGTTTGGTATTCCAAGGCAAAAATCAGTTACAAATCATTTCTTTCTTTAGGCGTTGGGAAGGAAGGCTATCCCCAAACTCAGGGAGATTTCTCATTTGACGAAGACAGTAGTGATGCTTTGTCTCCAGACCAGCCCGCCAGCCAGGAGTCGCAGGGCTCGGCCGCATCCCCAAGTGAGCCAAGAGTTAGTGAGTCACCGTCTCCTGTGACTGCAAACACTCCAGCCCAGGTATCACCCTTCTTGTTTTTACCCCTAAATAGAGAAAGTACCTTGCTTTTTTGTATATCAAGTATATTTCTTGTATTTTACATATCAGTACATTCTCACCAGAAGAAAAGTCTGAAAATGTGGAGAAATATCTATTCACCTGTAATCTAACCACTGTTAACATTTTTCAATAGATTATTGCAATTCATTTCTGTTCTATACACACATTTTTATTTTACAGTTTGTAACTCTTAAAATATTTCACATAACTTTTTTTAGATATAATTCATATATCATAAAGTCCACCTTTTTTTTTTACCACCTTAACCATTTTATTTTTTATTTTATTGGTTTTACAGAGGAAGAGAGAGGGAGAGAGATATAGAAACCTCAACAATGAGAGAGAATCATTGATCGGCTGCCTCCTGCACGCCCCCTATGGGGGATCGAGCCCACAACCCAGGCATGTGCCCTTCACCGGAATCAAACCGGGGCCCTTCAGTCCACAGGCTAACACTCTTTCCACTGAGCCAAACCAACTAGGGCACCACCTTCACCATTTTAAAGTGTACAGTTCAGTAATGTTAAATATACTCACATTGTTGTGCAACAGATTGCCAGAATGTTTTCGTCTTGCAAAACTGAAACTATACCCAGTAAACAACTCCCAGTTCCTCCTCCCCCCAGGCCCTAGCAACCACCGTTCAGTTTGTCTTTATGAATTTGACTGCTTTAGATATTTCATATTAGTAGAATCATACAGTATTTATCTTTTTGTGACTGTCTTATTTCACTTAATATAACGTCGTCAAGGTTCACCCATGTTGTAGTATGTGACAGAATCTCCTTTATTTTTAAGGCTGAATAATACTCCATTGTATGGATTTACATTTTTTTTATCCATTTGTCAGTGGACACTGGGTGGTCCCACCTCTTGACTTTTGTGAATAATGGTGCTGTGTACACGGGTGTGGAAATCTTGTTTTCTAGACTTGTTTGCAATTCTTTTGGGCATATACCCAGAAGTGAAATTGCTGGATCATATGGTCATTCTATTTTTAATTTGTTAAGGAAGCTGCATATTGGTCTCCATAGTGGCTGTACCATTTCATATTCAGCAGTGCACAAGGAGTCCAATTATCCACATCCTTGCTGACATTTGTTAATTTATGTACTTGTAATAGTAGCTATGCCAGTGGTATGAGGTGATACCTCCCTGTGCTTTTGATTTGCATTTCTTTAATGATTAGTGATGTTGAGCATCTTTTCATATGCTTGTTGGCTATTTCTATATTATCTTTGGAGAAATGTCTGTTAAAGTCTTTTGCCCGTTTTTTAATCAGGTTATTTGTTTTTCTGTTTTTGAGTTGTAGGAGTTCTTCATATATTTTGGATATTAACCTCTTATCAGATATATGATTTACAAATATTTTCTCCCATTCCATGTGTCACTTCTTCACTCTGTTGATAGTGTCCTTTAATGCAAAGAAGTTTTTAAGTTTGATATAGTCCCTTGTCAATAAATATATATCACTTTTTATTGCTACGTAGTATTCACTTGAACTGAAATACTGCATCTCTTTTAACCAGTTTCCATTGTTGGTTATTTGGACTTATTTCCTGTTTTTCACTCATACACACAATAAGAGCCCCTGTTGTATTCTCACATATTTGCTACACCCTGGTGTGTTTTTTTAATACGTACACTGTTGAGCACTTATTTCATTATTTCTCTGGATAATTACCAGATATGGAAATGAACTTGAAACTTTTGTTGGGCAAAAGATAAGATAATTGCTTTCCAGGAAGGTAATACAGATTTCCAGTCACTATGTGTTTACCACAAGTAGGTAATACCATTACCATAAGTCTTGCACACCATTTGGATATTTGACTGTTTTAATTGACTCCTTGATTTTTGTTAGATTGAATTCATTTGTTCAACAATAATTTTTTTTAACCATCCAAAGTGAGTTTATTCAAAATTGCAACAGTAATGAGAGCATTCAATTAATAAGATATGCTTTTTTAATTTTACTTGTGCTTTACACTGTGATTAGAAGAGAAAGTAAATTGCTAACCATTCTTTTTTTTTGTAATTAAATCTTTATTGTTCAGATTATTACAGTTGTTCCTCTTTTTTCCCCCCATAGCTCCCCTCCACCCAGTTCCCACCCCACCCTCTGCCCTTACCCGCCCCCCCCACTGTCCTCATCCATAGGTGTACGATTTTTGTCCAGTCTCTTCCCGCACCCCCCCCACCCCTTTCCCCCCTTAGAATAGTCAGTCCACTCCCTTTCTATGCCCCTTATTCTATTCTATTCACCAGTTTATTCTGTTCATCAGATTATTTATTCACTTGATTTTTAGATTCACTTGTTGATAGATGTGTATTTGTTGTTCATAATTTGTATCTTTACCTTTTTCTTCTTCTTCCTCTTCTTAAAGGATACCTTTCAGCATTTCATATAATACTGGTTTTGTGGTGATGAACTCCTTTAGCTTTTTCTTATCAGTGAAGCTCTTTATCTGACCTTCAATTCTGAATGATAGCTTTGCTGGGTAAAGTCATCTTGGTTGTAGGTTCTTGCTATTCATCACTTTGAATATTTCTTGCCACTCCCTTCTGGCCTGCATAGTTTCTGTTGAGAAATCAGCTGAAGTCGTATGAGTACGCCCTTGTAGGTAACTGTCTGTTTTTCTCTTGCTGCTTTTAAGATTCTCTCTTTGTCTTTTGCTCTTGGCATTTTAATTATGATGTGCCTTGGTGTGGTCCTCTTAGGATTCCTTTTGTTTGGGGTTCTCTGCGCTTCCTGAACTTGTAAGTCTATTTCTTTCACCAGTAGGGAAGTTTCTGTCATTATTTCTTCAATAGGTTTCAATATCTTGCTCTCTCTCT